AGCCTCCGAGTAGCTGCGGGACTACAGGCATGTGCCACCATGCCGGCTAATTTTTTCTATATATATTAGTTGGCCAATTAATTTCTTTCTATTTATAGTAGAGATGGGTCTCGCTCTTGCTCAGGCTGGTCTCGAACTCCTGACCTCGAGCCATCCTCCCGCCTCAGCCTCCCAGAGAGCTAGGATTATAGGCGCGAGCCACCGCGCCCGGCCCACCCTCGCCCACTCTAAAATGCCAGGTGCTCAGGACAGCAGGAAGCCTCGCTCTCACGGGAGCGGGTCGCAGGCCGTCTCGCCCCGTCCTCAGTGTTGTGTACATCAGACACTGGACAAAATCATCTCAGAGCAGCTTGAGGTTCCAAGGCCGAAGGGGGGCCTGCCGTCACCCCGTAGACCTGCCGTCCTGCGCAGGCGAATGCCCTGGCAGCGGCCTCCCTTCTGCCAGCAGAGGGGTTTAATGGACCCTGCCTCGCTCATAATTCATGTGCGGTGAGCTCACCGGATGAGTCAGTCTGGATCCTATTCCTGCCCGGGTCTGCCCCTTCTTACAGGGTGGCGGTTAGTCATCCGTGTTATTTCGTTGACATCAAACATTTGGCACTCTGAGAGATCGTCTCTGGCCAATAGGGATATATACATTTTTAACTCAAAAGCTTCATAGTAGCATCCACAGGTTTCCTTTCAGTATGTCCCGTGATTAATCACGTGCCGGTGATAAGTGCTTGCTTGGGCTCTCCCAAACACCCATGAGGTGGGTACTGTTATTGTACATCTGACCCGAGAGGTCAACTGAAAGAAGAGTGCAGTGGTTGAGAGAGAGCTCAGACCCAGGAGACAGCCTGCCTGCTTTGAATCCTGGTCCAACCCCCTACATGCTGTGTGACCCTGGGCAAGTGACTGCATCTCTCTGTGCCATCTTTTTTTTTATATATATAATATTAGTAAAATGGGAGATACAATGATACCTACCTCATAGGGTGTTGTCCCTATTACTTGAGGACAAAAGCCCGTGAATCAGTGCCCAGCTCATGGTAAATGCACGTTTTCAGTGTTACCTAGTATGTTTATTCAGTCACCAAATGTTTATTCAACGCCTTCCACAAGCCAGGCACCAGGGATCAGTGGTACTCACTACAGAGGAGGCGCAGCTTGCATGGGAGAGCCAGAGAATAACAGAATAAATGAATACACAAGAAAACATCAGATGAGAGTGGCTGTAAAGCCAATAAAACAGGGGAATGGAGAATAGACCGACTGCAGGGGGACCATTCATCAAAGTAGGGAATTCAGGGAAGACCTCCCCCAAAAGTGAAGCAGCCAGCCGTGGAAGTTCTTGGGGAACAGGATGTGCCAAAGCCCTGTGGTGGGGACAAGTCAGCTGTCATTGAACAGCAAAGCGGCCAGAGTGGCCAGAGTGGAGTGACCAGGGAGGGACGGGTGGTGGGAGAAAGGTCAGAGAGAGGGGCCGGCCGGGTCTTGCAGGGCCTTTTAAGGCGTGGTAAGGAGCTCTGAAGCAGTGATGTGACTTGCCCTGTGTCGCATACCAGACAGTCTGCCTGACTCTGGGGCCCCTGTAACCTGGCCTGGCACCTGCACATTCTTTATTTTCACTTTAACTCGGGCGTCACGTCCCAGGCAAGCCCCTGGGGACTTGGTGCCATGGCTGCCCTGGTGATTGCCGGCCGACACTTCAGCTGAGGAGCTAGTCTCTGACCCAGGCAGCAGCTCAGCTGGCAGGGCTAATGGGAACCAAGAGTCAGTCTTCTGACACTCTCCCTGCGAGTCATCCAGGTGCAACCCACGACTTCTGAAGGTCAGGCTTTCAGCCGCTGTGGCTTCCCCTTCCGACTGGCTCCAGGTCCCCGGGGAGAGATCACTTAGCGCTTTGCCAACACGTTCTATTGCATGTTTAATGTTCCTGAGAAAATGCCCTTGAGATCTCTCTCTCTCTCTCTCTCCCACCCCCTCCAAACAGAGCCTAGAAGAGAAACTAAGGAACTCTTCAGATTCTGAGCTGCTGCTGGGGATTTTGCGGAAGGTGAGATGCCCCGAGTCCCCAGGGCACAGAGCCTGGCCTCCTTACTCGCCCGGGCTGCCTGGCAGCAGAGCCTGGTATCCTTTAAAAACTTCCACTTGAAGGACAAAAAACATTAAGTCAGCACTGTGGGTGGGTGTCAGCACCTCAGACAGCTCTGGCTTTTTTGTTTTCTTAGATGAAGATGTCAGAATATACAAAAATCTGCATAGGAGGAGAGAATCTAGGGAACATTTTTTAAACAGTCCACATCAAAATCACAGATGACAGGCGTGGGGACGGCATCTAGTGTTTGGTAGCTGCTCAGACTTTCTTTTTGCATTTAAAGAAAAATTAAAGTGGCCCATCCTGCCCACGCACGTCTCCCTTCTAGATGAAGATAGGCCTCTGTTCTCCCCAGGACGGGTTGTGGACTCTGAAGTGCATCTGCCTGCAGGTTAGCGGCAGGACCACCACCCAGCCTGGCCCGCCCGCCCCACCCCGGACCCTGGCCATGCGGTCAAGTGTAGATCACACTGTATCCTGGGTCTTCACCTTCTGAAGGGTCATGAGCCCTTCTTAAAAGCCACGCTCTTAAAAGCTACATGCTCCCTCCTCAAAAGGAAGGGCATCAGGAGACTACGTTTTGCATACAGACTCAGGGGAGGGGCAGACATCTCTACCCCCAACCACCAAGCCCATCCGCAGAGCCCAGATTAGGAATTCCTGTGCTGGAGGGTGAACCGAGATTCTCCACGTGGAAAAGATGCCCCTGTCACAGGAAGACTTTCAGGGCAACCGGGTGGTTCTGGCTGTGAGCACAGCAGTACCTGGGCTTGTCTTGCAGCCTGCTGATTCCACTCTGAGCCTCACCCTCGAAGTTGGAGGAGCACAAAATATAGGGTGAGCTGCTTTAAAACCGAGCGCAGGCCAACTAGAAAGCCCCTGGAGGTCTTGTGTGGGGCGCCCTTGGGTAAGGTCTGCATCCCTCCTGGCCAGCAGGCCCTAGTGACCCTCTCCCCTTCTCCCTCCAGGTGCACGTTTCCCCACCTGTCCCTGCCTACACGGCTCTAGTTGCTCTGCCCCCCTTTCCAAAATGCCAGGCCTTGGCCACCTCAGAGCTGTTGCCTCTGCCTGGAACTCCTGTGCTTGGCTTCTCTGGGCTCCAGCTGCAGTGTCACCCTGAGAGCCCCCTTCCCCTCCACCCATACCCAGGGACTCAGGCTTCTAGAGGGCAGGTGCCGAGCAGGCCTTCCCACCTTCCCACCGTTTGGGCTCCTGCCTCTTCCATGGAGCCAGACCATGGACGACTGCCTACTGCCGTCACTGCACACCCTAGTTCACACTGGCCACCCTGGGAGGGAGGGAGCTGGGGCCCATGTGCCCTGAGTTCCTGCCCAAAACGAGCACCAGAAACCCTGCCGCAGCCTGTGCCACTGCCGTGGGAACTCTTTTAGGAAAAGGCTTACATTTTAAGACTGACTGTGAGGGTCTCTCCAGAACATTCTGTGCTTTGTTGCAGACTGTGAAACATCCTGTGTGTGTGAAGCACCCGCCGGCAGTGAAGTACGCCCGGTGCTTTCTCTCTGAGCTCATCAAAAAGGTCAGTCACTGGCAGTGACCAGCCGGAAGCCAGACAGCGTGGCAGCCAAGCAGGGACTTGGCTGGCTCCCCAGAAGGGGGCTCCTTGCCTGCCGGAGCCCAGGTCCTTCCCACACCCTTTGCCTGCTTTGCAAACCGCCCGTGTGGCAGGAGCCTGCCCGGACAGCGGGCTGCCATCTGGGTTTTACCAAGGGAGGCAGTGCGGGGAGGGGAGGCGGCGGCCGGGGCCTGTCTCCCTCTCTCTGGTTCCTGGGGCTCCCCAGCCACCACCTCTCCATGGGGCCTAGCTCCCACCGTGCAAGAGTGGGTAGGAGTCTCTTTCCTGCCAGGCAGCCCCGCCCCAGGGTGCTGCAAACCTCGCTTCTACCCTGTCCTGCCAGCTCAAGCGCTCTGACAGTCTCCTGCTCTTGCCGGGCTCTGCATCGCCCCAGCTGCTCGTGGGAAGTTTTAGCTCTTGCAGTACTTTCGTAACTCGCTCCGCTTGTCAGATTCTCCCCACTGATGTAGCTGGGCTGGGCTCTTGCCCTGAATGATACAGGGTGGATTTGAAGAATGAGCCCAACCCTACTGGGTTTGACACTGACGTCAGAGAAGTGATCCTCAGTGGTCACTTCAGAACTGCTGTTGCGGGACTGGACGAAGGGGCCACACCTTGCCCAGGTTTAGCAAATAAATAATCCCGCTTCTGTGGTAGCCCCTTCCCACAGTCCTTGGTCACCAGCAGGCCTCCCCAGCACCACCAGGAGATGGTGGCCAGGGGCTGCCCACTAAGTGACTTCGCAAAAGCCACAGTGTGGAGTGATGTCCCTGTGGCTTTGCCTGGGGCTCCCTTCAACGCACCGTTTGTCTTCTCCGTCCAGGACAGCTGGTATAAACAGAGCAGAGCGCTCTGTCTCGGCACTTGTCGGCTCTTGTGGGATCCCTGCCCTAGACTGTACCTAACCCTGACCTCTCTACACCTCTCTTTGAGGTACCCCCGCAGGTCCCCCCACCAAATTAATGTTTCTTTAAGAGATGGGGTCTCACTGTGTTGCTCAGGCTGGACTCCTGGGCTCAAGTGATCCTCCTGCCTCAGCATCCCAAGTAGCTGGGACTACAGGCACACACCGTTACGCCCAGCATATTGACCCATATTACGTCATTCCATCCTAAATACCTCCTCCAAATGTGGCGAAAATCATCCAGCCATTTTTACAGATCAGAACAAAAGCAAACAGGCAGAACCTTTGTTTTTGTTTATGAAGATCAGCTTAATCCTCTTGGCTGAAGCTCTTGTTTCGTCTGCCCCCAGCATGAGGCTGCCCACCCAGAGCCTTTGGATGAGCTGTACGAGGCACTGGCAGAGGTCCTGACCGCCCGCGAGTCCACCCAAGGCCACCGGAGCTATCTGCTGGTATGAGACGTGTGCACTTCTCCCCACAGGCCAGACTTGTCCTCCACAGACAAGTTAGAACACAGGCTCCAGTCAGCCTCCCGTGGGTTCAAATCCTGACTCGATTCTGCAATATTTATTGGTTGATTGATCGATTGTAGAAAACAGGGTCTTGCTATGTTACTGAGACTCCTGGCCTCAAGTGATCTTCCCACCTCAGCCTCACAGAGTGCTTGGGTTACAGGCGTGAGCTATTGCTCCCAGCTGGGGTCTTCTTTTTGTTTGTGTTTTAACCTGTTGTTATAAAATAAAACATGGATGTGGAAAACCACACCAAGGAAATGTACAGGTCACTGAATCATCACAAGGCAGCCACCCCTTTGTAGCCACACCCTCCCCTGCGGCCACCACCCCTGGCCACGAGGATGTGCTCCATCGCTGCGATTCTGCCACTTCAGGATGTTGGGTGAAGGGGATCGGGCAGGGTGTGACCTGAGACTGGCTTCTTTCACTCGAACAGTGCCCTCGAACCCGTCCAAGCCGTTGCGGGTTTTCGTAGTCGGTCCCTTCTGCTTGCTGAGTGGTGTCCCTGGCCTGGCCCCATCAGTGTATGTAGCCACCCCCTCCCCCGTGGCTGTTTTCTGCTAAACACCAGCTACTTGGTTCTGTGGCTGGATCCATTCTGTCCCGTCTCTCCGTGCAGCCTTCGGGGGACCCGGTCACGCTCTCTGAGAGCACAGCCTTCGTCTCCCACGGCACCACCGGCCTGGTCACGTGGGACGCCGCCCTCTACCTCGCGGAATGGGCCATAGAGAACCCAGCAGCATTCACTGATAGGTGACCTTGGGGGGCACAGGGCAGGGCACCAAGGCAGGCTTGCCGTGGCCCAGTAGTGGACGTCCTCCCTTGCAGGACTGTGCTAGAGCTCGGCAGCGGAGCTGGCCTCACGGGCCTAGCCATCTGCAAGACGTGCCGTCCCAGAGCCTACATCTTCAGCGACTGTCACAGCCGTGTCCTTGAGCAGCTCCGAGGGAACATCCTTCTCAACGGCTTGTCGTTAGAGCCAGACATCACCACCACCTCACAGAGCCCCAGGGTGACAGTGGCCCATCTGGACTGGGACGTGGCGATGGTCCCTCAGCTCTCCGCCTTCCACCCAGACGTCGTAATCGCAGCAGGTAATGCCCAGCCCGGGCAGGCTGAGCTCGGCTCCGGGGAAAAGGAGCAGTGGATGCTGCCTGGCAGGGAAATGACAGGGCTTCCAGAAGAGTCATCCTGGGGCTGCAGGGGACATCAGAGCACTGGGATGTGCCTCTTAACATGACCTGAAGACACAGCCCTCTTGTTGGGGACAGACGTGATGGTTCCATCCAGTAAATGAGCCCTGGCTTTTCCCAGCAAGGCAGCAGAGGAACAGAACAGGCCCCAGGCGCCAGCCCAGTCTGCCCCATTAGCCAGGCCACAGCCGAGCGGACGCACTCCATCTCCTGCCCAGCAGCCCGCGGGAGCGTCCAGTTCCTGCCCAGGACCAAATGGAGCCCCTCTGAGACGTGGGTGTCTCACCCCACGTGTCAGGCGAGGCTGCCCCACCTCCTCCAGGTCTTCAGATGCGGGGCAGAAGTGGCCGTGGCAGCCCTTGATTCTTCCAGGGCCACAGAGGACAGCACAGTTCTCCCAGGACTGGTCTGATTCCTCCGCATGTCACCAGCACCCAGTCCTGGGCAGGCCTCGGGTGGGACTGCAGCGGCCAGGCTGTCAGGAAATGAGAGCTGAGTGCCCCCCCCCGCCCCGCCCCCGTCAGTGCTGGCTCCGTGCATGGCTGTGCTGCCCTAATGTTGTTGTCACCCGTCTGTGTGGCCCTGGCCGTCTGCATCTCAGGTCCACGCCCCACGCCCTTCAGAGACCACAAGACCGCAGAGACACTTCTGGTACAAGGACGGTCCCTGAGAGAGGGCGGTGTTTGGCTGGGCCACCAAAGGCCCCTTGTCGCCTGCTGAGCTCACCCAGCCCCCTTGCTGGTCAGCAGTGCTCTGCCCTGTCGGGGCCCAGCCCGGAAACGCACAGCCCCACAGCAGGGACGCAGCCGTGCCCCTGCCAGCCGCTCACACATCAGCAGGGGCTGGGAACGGAAAGTCCAAGGCGGGAGGCGGGTTCTGCTCCATTACGCGTCTTCTAAATAGGCCAGGAGGCAAAGAGTTGATATTTTTTTAAGAGGAACTCCAGTGAGTGGGGATATTTTTTCATTTGTTGCAGTGTCTTTAGCAGCTTTCTCTCTCGTAAGGGTTTTCCTTTTCCACCCGAGTAATTCCCTTTCCCTCTAATAGCTGAAATGTAATGTCACTGCAGCTTCCAGACCTGCTGCGGTCAGCACAGCCCTATCCCTCCTGGTGGTACCTTTCCATAACCTAAGGCTGTTCCCCGTAGACGTGCTGTACTGCCCAGACGTCATCCTGTCGCTGGTCGGGGTCCTGCGGAGGCTCTCCACTTGCCGGAGCGACCAGCGGGCTCCTGACGTCTACATTGCCTTCACCATCCGCAACCCAGAGACGTGCCGGCTGTTCACCACTGAGCTAGGTGAGCCCCCGCGCCCAGGAGCCATCTCCGAGGGGCCGCCCAGGCCTGCAGGGCCACCGAGCTGTCCCCACAGGGCTCCAGGAAAAGAATGCGGCCCTGGGGAAAAGCTAGGAAGCCCCACACCCCTAGACATGTCCTGGGAACTTTCAGAGACAAGATGGTGAGCGGGATAGGGCACAGGGCAGGAGGGAGGCAGCTTGGCACAGTGACTGCAGTGACAGGTGTGAGACCCACAGTCCTACTGTGTCAGCAGGCTTCCTAAGCCTTTTGGCCTCAGTTTCCTTATCTGCAAAGTAGAGGTGGATGTCAGAATGCCAGTTGGTGTCAAGCCTACGGCTCAGTGTCCTTCCTCACCTGCACCCAGAGACAGCCACCTCAGGGGGAAGCCCGCACACACTGGGACAGTGCGGGTGCACTCTTCTCAGCTGGGCGGTGGCGGGGGGACAGGTGCAGGCGGGGGAATGAGGAAGCCGGGCTGCTGTCGCCGCTGCACAGACCACCTGGGGGAGGAGCCCAGCCTGTCCTGGGGGCGCCACAGAGAAGCCCAGGTCCCGCCCCAAACACCCATCCTGAGACGCATGTGCTGTTTCCAGGCCAGGCGGGGATCCGGTGGGAAGCGGCACCTCCTCACGGCCGGCGGCTGTTCCCCTACGAAGAGCACTCGGAGATGGCGATTCTGCAGCTCGTACTGTAGGCCTCGCACGGGCTTCTGATTGTGAAAATTAAATCACCACTGTGAGAATTTTTGTAGGAAAGCAAATAAAACTTTCACTGGGGCTGGGTACAGTGGCTCACGCCTGTTGTCCTAGCACTCTGGGAGACCAAGGTGGGAGGATTGCTTGAGACCAGGAGTTCGAGACCAGCCTGGGCAACACAGCGAGACCCCATCACTACAAAAAATGGAAAAATGTGCCGGGTGTGGTGCCGCTCGCCTGCAATCCCAGCTACTCCGGAGGCCGAGCCCAGGAGCTGGAGGGAGCGACAGTCGCGCCACTGCACTCCAGCCGCATGACTGAGACCCCGACTCAGAAAAAACATAAACAAAAAACTTGCAGTGGGCCTGACTGTTTGAAGCATGTGGAATCGCAGACCACAACTGTTCTAATAAGATATAAGCTGTTGATGTGTGTGGGTGCCCCCTCCTGTCCGCAGTTCTGGTCTTAAGAAAATCATAAATCAGAAATGAAAGTTTTGGCTCAAAGGCAAGCATTCCCCTTATGCAGATAACACGTATAGCAAGTATGACGTCCCCAGTCTGGACGCTGGGTTCGTCGCAAAGCCGCGCCCAGCGCAGCTGTGACACACCACGACACACCTCCAGCCCGCAGGTTTCCAGGTGGGAACATGACGGAGGCAGAGCGGGGAAGGGCAGACACCTGGACAGCACAGAGCGGAGGGACGCTCAGAGTCCCAGCGAGTGAGAGAAACGTAACCCACGGGAGAGGAGCTCAGAACGGGAGGGAAAAAGAAGACGCGAACTCCTGGCTGTTAGAGCTTTATTCACATTGCGGCCTCCGACCACCAGGAGGCGCTGTCCCGAAGGGTCTGCCCTGGGACTCGGAGGTGCGGGGAGAAGGGGCCCCGGGGGTCACGTGTCCATAAGCAAAGGGAGCACAGTCCGAGTCCAGCTCTCATCCCACCGAAGCCGCTCGGACTCCCGGAGGTTCTTCCGGAACTGGCTGAGTTTGCCAGCAGGATCAGGAAACTTGGAGAAAAGCATCTACAAAAAATCAAATACCAGAACTTATCTCATTGTTCCTCCCCACCCAGCCCAGGTGACCGCCTACCTGACCCTAGGTCCCCAACCCAACAACGCCCCCTCCAATGTGCCCACTCCCTCACTGGGCACCCAAGGCCTCCCACACCCTGGCAATGCTCCATCTCCTACTTGACAGCGAGTTTTCTGGAAACATCCCTGCATGTCTTGCTCTCCCACACTCCATGCCCTGGAGCACCTCCTGGCCACTGTGTTCCTTTTCCGGGAGCATCTCCTCTCAGCCTCTGGCCCCCACAGTCCCACCCATCTGCTGGGAATGAGGTGACATCTGTGTTCTTTTCAGCCTTGCCAAACTGTCTAGATCAGGGGTTGGCACACTACAGCTTGCAGGCCAAACCCGGACCCCCACCTATCTTTGTAAATAAAGTTTTACTGAAACACATCCATGCCCTTTCTTTGACAGAACATGCTATGGCAGAGTCAAGTTGTTCTGACAGCAACTGTATGATAAAACCTAAAAGATTTTCTACCTGGACCTTTATGGAAAAAGTTTGCCAATATTTCAGTTGTCAAGAATGATGATGTATTACTTTCTGGAACAAGAAACAAGCATCCAGGTGGGTGCAGTGGCTCACACCTATGATCCTAGCACTCCGGGAGGCCAAGGCAGGAGGATCACTTGAGCTCAGGAGTTGGAGACCAACCTGAGCAAGAGCGAGACCCCGTCTCTACTAAAAACAGGAAAATGAGCCAGGCGTGGTGCGTGCCTCTAGTCCCAGCTACTCGGGAGGCTGAGGCCGGAGGATGTTTGAGCCCCGGAGTTGGAAGCTACAGTGAGCTACGATGATGCCATGGTACTCTAGCCTGGGTGACAGAGCGAGATTCTATCTGCACAACAAAAGGAAACAAGCCTCCTTTGCAGAATCCCACTCGTCTCTCAAGGCTGGTCCAAGGAGCTCCTCTCACTCCTCGGATCCCGATCGCGCCCTAGACTGCAGCCCAGCCCGCCCTGCTCTGGCTTCATCTGTGCGTTGCAAGCTCCATAAATCCAGGGGGCAGGCAGGGGCATGTCCTAGTTTTCCTGAGCCCACTGGTCGCTTGAAGCAGGACAGCACAGCAGGCCGGCCTCTGTGACCTCTGCTCCCTTCCGCAGCGTTTCCTCCAGTCCCAGCGTAGCCCCGCCATGGCTGTGGGAAGCAGTAATTGGGGATCGCGGTTCAGTGCCCATCTCCAAAACCCCAAGCCCTGGAGCAAGGCCGACACGGCTACCTGCAGCTGAGCTGCCAGTTCCTCCGAGTTCTGGAAGACCAGGCCGTTTTCCTCGTGTTTCACAAGCTCATGCAAACTGCGGAGAAAACAAGGGGCCTGAGGACTGCCTGGAGAGGGAACCCGACCCCGTGGTGCCCACCTGCCCTGCCTCACCCACACACAGACACAGCCGGGGCAGGCACAGTCGGTTTGGTCCAGCGAGCCTGTTCCTGTTTGGTGTCTGAGTAGGAGAAAGATCTGGAAGGATGCGCATCAAGTGTCCAAACCGGTCTGCACGAGGGGCCCTAAGGGGATGTGGACCTTTTGTGCTGTGTGCTCTTCGATGAGAACGTACTCAAGAGTTATTTCTGCATTTTTATTCTTAACCCCATGCCCAAGCAACAAGGTAAAGGCACCCCTGCCCTTGGAGACTGGCTGGTCATGCTAAGGATGGCTAGACTAGCTGGTCACGCTAAGGATGGCTTCTCTGGGTCACCAGGAGGTCTGGTCCTGACATGTGCTGAGCCCAGCTCACGCAGGGGTCTGACATCGCGACTTCCCCGTTCAGAGGCTGCTGCTGAGCAGGGCTGAGTGCTCAGCGTGCTGGGGCTGCTGTTTCTAGAATTTCCAACACCACCCTTTCCAAACACCCATCTTTGCCGGGTCGAGTGGGGTCTTAGAATCACACTCATTTAACTAATTCAAATCCAGCTATACGAGCTCAGCCAAAAGGGATGTTGGGGAAGAGAGAGAGAGAGAGATACAACCACACGAGCTGTGCAGGCAGCTCCGGCCACCATTCTCGAAGAGCACACGAAAAACACACCCTGCTCTCGGCCACCTGTCTGTGCCAGACTGACCGAGCTGACGCCCTGGTGGCATGTCACAAACAGCTCAGACTCAGTGGTTCTCTCTCTGCTACCGATCTGAGAGCCTAACCCCAGGAAGACTCGGTTTGTGCTCCTACCACTTGAAGTTCACGGCACACACAGGCAAAGAGCACCCGAACATGTCCACCACCTTCATGGGCAGGTCCAGGCCGCTGGAGGATTTGTGCAGACACACGCCCAGGTCTGCCGACCCTGTGGGGCGAGGGGCAGTCAGTGCCGGCCTCCGCCCTGGGAACACAAGTCCTTCCAGGACAGCGGAGGGACACCTCCCGTGGGGAGTGGAAATCGGACATCCCCGACAGCCCCAAATACAAGTGGCTTAAGTTGGCCCCACAGCCCGGCCAGGGGCAGGGACCTGGTGATGCCCCCAGCTGCCACGCCCGACACCTGTAAACCGCCAGGTCCTTAACTTTCTTATTTCAGCTGACTCAGTTTCTCTACTTAACCGCAACTTACTTTAAAAGAACTCCTAAGCGGTTATTGTTAATGGGTACAGAGTTTCTGTAGGAGGTGATAAAAGAGTTTTGGAAACAGACAGTGGTGATGGTCGTACAACACTGTGAATATAATGAATGCCACTGAGCTGCATACCAAAAATGGTTAAAACAGCGAATTTTGTTATATATATCTTACAGCAATAATTTAAAAAAAGAACCCACAGCAGACCAAAAAAAAAAAAGCCCAGCTGCCACTGTGAAAGCCAAATAAACAACTTAACATTACTAAAGACTAGCTAGAAACTTCTGCCTGCTGAAGGCTCTCGGCCCAGACTGCTTCCTGGAGACTGGAAGATAGGGCTTTAGAGACGTGTCAACAGTGAGGCTCCACGTCCTCAAAGCAATCACGAGGGAAAGAGACAGACGTTTCACTGACAGGAGGCAGTGCCAGCTCACATGCTATCCCTGCACCTCCCAAACACGGTGGCCCCGACCCCAGGCCCTGGCCTTCTGCAGAAGGGAGGGCAGGACAGAACGGAGAGAGGGGTAGAAGGCCAAGAGCACAAGGCCTCCCAGAACCTCGGCAGGGCGGCCTGGTACACCAGGCAGCAGCCTCCTCTCAGGAGCTCCGCCCACGATCCCAAGTGGCCTCAGGTGGGACTGGGCCCTGCCTGTATTGGCCCTGGAGCTAAGAATGGCTTTTACATTTTTAAAGGGTTATAAAAACAACATAAGAGGCCCTAAAATCTTTCCTGACTGGCCCTGTTTGGAAGAAGTCTGCTCCCCTCCCCAGGGGACTCCCCTTTAAACACAGCCTCCCTGAGGCCTCCCGCTGGCCGCTCACCTAGCAGCAGTGGGTAGTCCTCGGCCTCCAGCCACGGGGTGCAGATCTGGACGTGCTGGAAGCTTTTCTGGGTGATGAGGCGGCTGTAGTGGGCCTTCAGAGGCCCTTTGCCTTCACAGAGAAGAGCAGTCACTGCCACGACTGGCCCGGCCCCGGCCCCCGATGCTCCTGCTAAGATGCAAGCAGCCCCCTTCCCAGAAGCCCCAGCCTTGGCAGCTCCAGGCAGGCCCATCCTGGCCCCTTCCAGAAACAACCCGAGAGCCCTGAGCCCCCCGGGGGTGCACTCTGACCGCTGAGGCCCTGCCACCTGCAGCCAGATGCCTCGGGCAGCAACCACGGCTGGACAGACGCTACCTGGCACCAGAGCACCAACTGGGTAGATCAGTTTCTCCATCTGTGCCACATGCGGGGGACACAGGGACTGCCGACTGCCCCGCCAGGGCCCCCAGGCAGCATGGCGTGTGCCGTGGGTGCCAAGGAGGGGAGGCCAGGGCCAGCAGGGGAGAGAGCGGGACAAGCTGCCGGCCCAGCAACTCCCTCTGCCTTTCTCCCTTTCTCTGGGACTTCGCAAGCAATTTCACACTAGCCGGTGGGCTCTTTTGTTTGAAAACTCCAGTGCTTGAAAACCACCGGAAAAGGGGCATGCTTGGTATCTCTGTGGTGCTGCTACCCGAGATTCAAATCCAGGCTCCACACCCTGCTGGAAGGCCCCTCTGAGCCTCAGTTTCCCCCATGTGAAGCAACAGAAAACCCTACTGCAGAGCTGCTGCAAGGACTCAGGAGAGAAGGTCGAGTGGAAAGCACACGGTAACCCCTGCCCCCTCCACCGTCCCCCTGCTAAACGCAGACGTCGAGTGTCCCAAGCAGTACCTGTTATCACGCAGATGAGAGAAGGAAGACCGTCCCCAGCACGAGTCAGCTGCTCAAACTCTGCGTACAAAAACAAAGAAGCCATAGCCAGCGTCACCTCGTTGGGTGGGGAAGGTGCTGCTCTCACGGGGGCCACCAGCCTCTGAGACGCTCCCCCAGGCCAACACTTCAGCTCGAGGGCCTGGCCACTCAGTGACCCAAACGGGGACTTGGAGCTGCCCACCCACACTCCGCTGTCCCTGGGCTGTCCTCGGGCCCACCCACCCGGTGCAAGGCCGGGCGAGCATCTCCCAGCTCAGTGGCCCCGACAAGCCCAGAACCCCCGACCACAGCCACACACCTACTTTCCAAAGCTGCCAGCAGGATGGAGAAGTCCTCGTCCTCTGTGAGAAGAGATCAGAGTGTCACGGGCTGTTTCTAGACCACCCCCCAGCTGCCACGCCCTCCCCTCCTCATCAGGCACGGGGGCGGGGAGCACTAAAGCCCCCAGTGCCCCGGGGGCTGCACAGACCTGTCCAGCTCGTGCTGCTGACCAGCAGGGCCGGCCGCCCTCGAAGACACATCACCGTCCCGCTCTGAGTGTCCCGCTCCGTGAAGGCCGACCTCTCCGTGGCCGGGCCGCCGGGGTCTGTGCTGAGGCGGCAGGGAAACGCCGGTGAGAGGCTGCAACGCAGGCCCCGGCCAGGACGCCACCTCTCCCACCGCGAGGCCCGCGGCTCCCGAGGGCTGGGGTGGCCGGCCACGGGAGCAGCACCGGCTGGCCCTACTGCCGCGGTGGGGGCCTGTGCCCTATAGCAGCACTTGCTGCCGGGTGCTGAGGTAACAACAGCAAACGGGACCGGCCAGTCCTGTCCTCCGTGGGGCTCCCCATTCTCACCGCGCCCACAACGTAACACGAGGGTGCTATGATGCCCCTCACACCCACGCCAGGTTACTGAGGGCACACGACAAGACGTGCGGACAAAGGTCCCCTCCTAGCCCCGTGAGGCACCCCAGGGGACTCACGGGTCCACTCACCCTGCCATGGGCACCGGAACCCGCTGGCAGGAGGCTAAGACAGCACAGGGGTTGGCAAACATTTCTTAAAGGGCCAGAGAGTGAGCACTGTAAGCTCGGCGGGCTAGGGACTCTCTGGCTGCAAACCCAACTCTGCCATCGCAGCTCAAAAGCCACCACAGCCACAAGGAAGGGAACGCGTGTGCCATGTTCCAGCAAAACTGTGCCTGCAAAACTAGGCGGCAGGCCCATGGCGTTTGCCAGCCGCTGGATTCACAGGTTCCCCGGTCTGCAAGGGGGGACAGGAGAGCCCAGGACGGCAGGGGTGTGAGCGAAAGCAGCAGAGGACGCGGCCTACCGGGCCCGGAACGCAGCGTAGGTGCGGCCCAGCTTCATGAAGAGCTCGTGCTGCAGGTCCAGGGGCGTCTCTTTAAAGAAAGCTGCCGGCCTATCGTAGACAGTCACGGCTCTGCAACGAGATGGCTGTGGTGGGGACTCTGGGGAGGAGTGGAGAGGAGCCCAAGGCATAGGGGATCCAGGCAGATCCTGAAAAAGGACACTTGGGGAACCCAAGCCTCAGTGACAATCAGAAGCTTTAGAAGTACTTGGAAAAGCTCCGAGAGGTGTTCTAAGACCAAAACCGCCTGGACCTCTTGGCTGGCCAGGAAAGAAACCCCACCTCCTCCTCCCTCGGCTTCCTGAGACCAGTTACCATCTCCCGTCCCCTCGTATCTCAAATGCCTCGCCAGCATGTGGTAGCAGGCACTGTGCTCTCGTCCCAACCCACTCCGGGACCCACCCTCGGGCTGATGTCGTCCCAGGCCCTTGTACCTGATGCGCCAGTTCTCTGCCAGGTCCTCACGCATGGCGGTGGTCACACACAGGTTCATATGGGACAGGCGTCCAAAGAGCTTCTCGTACCTGCAAAGACGTATCGCTGATCAGCCTGGAGCCCTGGACAGGCCCCACCACACCCGCAGTGTGACCCGACACCCCTCGACACAGAGGAGGCTGCAGAGCTGGGGTCTCCCAGACCTTCCAGAGCTTGCGCTGCCAGAGCACCACCCACACTGGTATTATTTCCAACCTTCCTCTATGTCATGCCACCTTCGGCTTCAATATAGTTACGTTAAAAGGAAACCATATATTCACTGCCAAAGTGAAAATCCAGTCTCTCTTGCTGCAAGAAGAAATACGATCTGGCCTCATTGCCAGATCTCAGCCACCCTGCACCCCTGCAGCAAAAGCTGTGCAGCTCACTCTCAAGGTGGCACCACGGGAGCTCTGTGAACATCAGAGAGGCACTAAAGGCACGTTAGCTCCCGACTGAGACTGAACCCTGACCACAGGGGAGAACCAGAAAGGGGAACGAGCGATTCCGGGTTATTTAACACCATCTGGATATTACAGGCTGTTCTGCCTTCAAGACCCAGAGAAAGCTCTGAAATGGGACTGCCTAGGACTGAATTGTGGTCCTCACACTTATTAGCTATGCCGCAAGAGGCAGAATCGCCTTCAGCCTCAGTTTCCTGACACATAAAAGGAGGGTGATCACAGTACAGCCTCACTGTGTGGTGTATGGAGACTGAATGGGATAAAATGCAGAAAGGGCCTGGCCTGCTACTGTGACCACCACCAGTGAGCAGGCCCATCCGGGCAGAGGGTGAAGCTGCAGCCTGCAGCCAGACGTGCACACCAAGGCAGGTGTCGTACTGGGGCCCAGAGTACAACAAATGACTTTTCTTGCTCCGGGTCCAACCTGCTCCCACAGTCGCTTGCACCAGCTGCGGCAGCTACGGCTCAATTCTCCCCCTCATCTGCTCTCACACACTCCCTGTCCTTGGGGTCTGATGCCCCCGGGACCCAGCTCTTTCAGTGCAGTGTGCACTTGCCCCAAGCCTAAGACAACAGGGATGGCAGTCCCTGCCTCAGTGGGCAGATCAGAGGAGGCAGGTACAAGACAATCAGAAAGGCTCGCTATCCCCACCCAGCCCTGAAGGGGTGGGGACGCCAGGTAGGCAAGCTCCCAGAACCACCAAACACTGCCAGAAGGGAGCGTGAAGAGACGTGAGCCAGGTCCCAGTGATGCTGTCTGGAGTTCAAAGCCAGCCTCTTCTCAGGATCTTTCAGTTTCATAGGTCAGCAAATGCCCCCCTTCGCTGCGCCGTTTTCTATCGCTTGTAACCAGTATCTGCCCGATGCGCCAGCCTCGCCCCACTCCTCCAGAGCACGCAGGGAACCAGTTTCCAGGCCTCACAGGCCCTTCTTCTCACCCACCCACCCTCACGGGGTCTTAGGGAAGACATCTGCACCCTCCCCCAGGCTCTCACCATTTGGCCAGCAGAACGAGGGGGTGGCTGGGGCCGTGCACCAGACCCATGATGGAGTAGCCATAGTTGTGCCAGTCGATGACGAGTTTGCTTCCACAAAGGCAGCCGGCAAACCAGCAGACGGCAATGCTGGGCAGGCCTGGGGGGTTCTAGGAAAGAGGGTCTTGAAGGAAGAGGAGGAAACCCAGACCATAGTCAACAATAAACTTGAGGGAAAACAGTTGCAACCCACATGGCCAAGAGGTCACTATCTTTACAGAGCTCTTGATAATAGGCACCAACATAGGTGTCAAAAGTCATAAAAGAAACAGAAGTGACCAGCATGAAAAGTCCAAGATCATTAATAAGCAAGGAGACAAAAAAATGGAACAGAGATGCCATTTGTCACCTATCAGAATGCAAACTCTAAAAACGCCTCACAGTAGCTGGTAGTGAAGGGAAGAGACCCGGTGGACAAAATGGACAACCTTACTCTAGGGATATCCAGCAAGATACCACGACATTTTACAAGTATGGAAACTTTGATGGAGCAATTCCACGGCCAGGAATTTATCCTAAGAAACTGGACATGTGTAAAAAAAGGATGTTCACTGTGCTCTTAGCTGCACTATTGGTAAAAGTAAAAAAATCAGGAAGAATCTGTCCATTAAGATGAGACTAGGGCCGGGTGTGGTGGCTCACGCCTGTAATCCTAGCACTCTGGGAGGCCGAGGCAGGCGGATTGCTCGAGGTCAGGAGTTCGAAACCACCCTGAGCAAGAGCGAGACCCTGTCTCTACTATAAATAGAAAGAAATTAATTGACCAACTAATATATATAGAAAAAATTAGCCAGGCATGGTGGCGCATGCCTGTAGTCCCAGCTACTCGGGAGGCTGAGGCAGGAGAACTGCTTGAGCCCAGGAGTTTGAGGTTGCTGTGAGCTAGGCTGATGCCACGGCACTCACTCTAGCCTGGGCAACAAAGCGAGACTCTGTCTCAAAAAAAAAAAAAAAAAAAGATGAGACTAAATAAATACATTCTGGTACATCAAATATTGGAATTCAGTGCAGCCCATTAAAATGAAGATGCTTCTATATGTTAAAAATTGATGAAGGAGAAAGATTAAAAGCATAACTCTAGAACCAGACTGACTACCTAGGTTCAAATCCTGACTCCACCACTTCCTAGCTGTGTGACAATGGGTTACTACTTACACAAATTCTCTGGGTCTTAGTTTCCTCATCTCTAAACTGTAGGAAATACAAAAACCTACTTCTTAGGGTTGTGAGGATTAAATGACTCAATACGTGTAAAACACTTAGATACATAATAAACACAATGTAAAGACTCTATTTGTAATGACACAGAAAAACAGTATGGACAGGCACCATAAATAGAATGGACATGTACCATAGGTTCCTAATCTTGTTTTTAAAAGTTTATACACACACACACACGAATATATAACGTATTATCAATCTGTGCATTTTTAAAAGGTGGGAAAATAAAGAAAACTGTTAATAGTGGTTCTCCCAGAGGAGGCAGAAACTGGCACATACCTGGAGAAAGGTGTAGGCTGCTGGCTCCCTCCACATCAGCATCCACAGCAAGTGCACTGCCTGAAATGCAACTTTGACTCCGTACTGGAGAACTCGAGGCCCAACTGCAAGTCAGAAAACGCCTATGATTACCAAAGGAGTTTTGGGCAATTTGCAAAAACTTCACACACACACAGGCACACATGGATTCAGAGGAATCTGGAGTTGACTGCATCCTACCTGCAAGATTCTGAAGTTCTGTCAGCTGCACAATTTGAATTCTGTCACTCTGCAAGAGTTCATCATGGGGTTTGGAGTCTGAAAATGAGAATGTTCCCTTCAATGTACCAGATGTGGCAATCTAATTTAAAGTCAGAGTATCTCCCAGCTCAAGCTGAATGGTGGAGAATGTTTTGGAAAACAAGACTTTTCAAAACCTCTCTCTGTTCCTCACTAGCCAGAGCAGAGAATGAGGCCAATTCTTGTGCTGATTCCACTAGAATGCCCACAGAAAGAGGGCCCAAATGTTATCTACCATTACTTAACTCAATGCCTGGCACATAGTAGGCACTCAATTAAACTGATCTGAATTCCCTGGATGGTGGAATTTTCCCACCTCACAGAGATCCCCAGGAAGCTCCACTCTACCCCCACACCCTGAGAAAGCAGACTCTGAACAGGGACCCAAGGCAACCAATGCTGTTCCCATTTTCCCTGAGATGAGGCTGTGCTGCCCTCTAAAGATATCAACATAGAGAATAATAAAGGAGCAGGCACCCTACCCTGCACACCTTGGGGGAAAGGTGCACTTGAGAAGCAAATGCAACACCTGCCTGCCTGCAGAGGTCTGCGCTGAGGGATGAGGAATGAGAAAAGACATGTCGCCCATCAGCTCAGACGCTGCATGACAAGGGTAGCTGCACACAGATGTGGCTACCAGCACTGGCCCTGGAGTCCCCCGCACCTGGGTTCCAGCCCTCGTCTTTCCACTTAACTAGGAGAATTAGGTGAGACCATGCAATGCATTCACTTAACTTAGCACAATCCTGACATAAGGCAAGCGCTCCACTAACTCTGGCTGTTCGTAGACACCCAGCCAGCAGAGGCTGGGCAGAAACCTAGAAACCGCCATCCCAGCCAGAACCCGCTCGTGCTATCGCGGAGAGCCGGCCAAAGGCGGGGACAAAAGTGGGACTCCGGTCTCCACCTCCTAGTCAGAGCCTAGGGCCTAAGGCTGAGGGCAGCCTCCCTCCCTCAGGCACTCACTGCAGAACCCCAGGAGGGTCACGGAGAAGCCGTGCTTGGCCAACGACAGCGCGTGGTACTGCATGCGGGGGCTGCGGCCCACGTCGCCCAGCACCACGACGAGCACGTGCCGGGCCGCGCGCCCCCGCTGCCAGCGCTTCCAGCAGCACAGCAGCAGCAGCGGAAACAGCAGGGACAGCGCCAGCAGGGCCAGGCAGGGTGCCGCCATCTTGGCGGGCCGGCCGCCGTCACGTGACTGCCCTTCCGCGGGCCCCCGCGCTCTGTGCGCAGCCGCAGATGGAGCTTCCGAGGTGGGCGGGGCTGGTGGCGCAGGTGGGTTCCACTCGGGCGGGAAAAGTCATCTGACAGGGAACTTACCTCTTCTTTTTTCAGAATGTTTGTTGCTTGAATAAGACATTTAAAATATAAAGAGGGAAAAGGACATAAAAGAAAGTAAAAACCCTAATAATATTTTTTCAATATCCACAGTTAGAAAGGAACATTTCCTCACTGGCCCTCCAATTTCACCTCACAAAGCAGCCACAGAAGAGTTCAGCGAGCGTCTCTGTGACAGCCTTTTCCCTTTGAAAGCGGTTCCCTGCTGAGAAACGTTGACAGCACAGTGGTGAAGCCACCTCATTGCCCCCCGCCCTTGGCAGCTGCCCCAGAACCCGCAGAGCCACCACGCAGACCCGTGTTCCACCAACAGATGAGGCAGCGCCTCCTCCCTTGATAAGAGCCCTCGGGCAGCACCCGAGAGGCAGGGCTTGTGTGATGATGTGGCTCCTCTGTCCCCAGAACTCAGCTCGGGGCTTGGCACACTTCTCACCTGCCTTTCACAATAGCCCTGTGACCCGCCTTCTTAAGGATGAGAAAGTAAAGGTAACACCCTGAGCCAGACCTTGAAACCTGAGCGTTCAGCTGGAAAGGAAGAGTAAATATGCACAGATGGGAGGGATGGGCAGTCGCTCTTGGGCAGCAGCATTAAACCTCCAGTGCTTGAGAGTCCTCTGCCTCCAGGTTGCATCTGCTGGGGAATGAGGCTGGACACTCCTGTGATAGGATGGGCGGGAATCTGGGACCTCAGCCTCGGGGCTCCTGGCTCCCACTTGACCTTGGGCAGGTCATTCCCCATCGATGTGCTTTCCTCACCTGTGGATTAAGGTGGCGAGACCTCCTGGCTTAGAGAGCCTCTCTTGCTCTGATGATCTAAGATTAGGACCAGGCACCATGGTGATGACAAACCAAGAGCAGATAGGTGAAGCCTGGGTTGGGAAGGAGTTGCAGTTGTGTCTCTAGGGAGAGAGGGGCTGGAGGCATCGCCAGGGAGGACCACTTCAGCACTGGGCCAGCCTCACTTGCCCTGCTCGCTCACTCGGTGGCCATGCCACAGGAGATCCGGTCCTCCTAATGATCGAGGGGGTATCGATACGTCACTTAACCCCCTCAGAGCCTCAGATTTTGTTCAAGGTGGTTGAGTGCCCCCCTCATGGTTTGTCTTAAGGATTAAATGAAGTAAGGACAATGACAAGCTTCCCCTGGAACATGTGCTCTCAAGGGTGCACCCAAGGGGGAAAATTGGTTCTTGGGGAGCAAAAAAAAAATCTCATTCTTGTTACATATAAAGCACAGACATAAATACAGTGCACAAGTTTACAGTACACCTACTGTAGTAAAATTTCATGGAGGGGTGCATGAGGAACCCTCATGCACAGCCATGGGGATGTAAAATTGTCCAGCCACTGTGGAAAACAGTCTGGCAGTTCCTCAATAGTTTCAGCATAGAATTGCCACATGATCCAGCAATTGCATTCCTAGGGATGTAACGAAGAGGATTGAAAACAGGTTTTCAAACAAAAACTTTTGAACAAATGTTTATAACAGCGCTACACACTAGAACAGAAAGAAAACAACCCAAATGTCCATCACCAGATGAATGGATGAACAGAATGCAGGCTACCCATACAATGGGATATTCTTCAGCCATAAAAAAGAATAAAGTACTGATATGTGCCACAACACGAATGAAACTTAAAAACATTATCCTGAGTGGGAGAAGCCAGACATAAAAGGGCATACATTGTAAGATTCCATTTGTACAAAATATCCAGAACAGACAAATCCATGGAGACAGAAAGTAGATCAGTGGTTGCCAGGGACTGAGGTGGGGGATGGGGAGTGACTGCTAATGGATGTGGGGTTTCTTTTTGGGGTGATGAAAATGTTCTGGAATTAGTATAGCCATCACAACTTTGCAAATATACTAAAAACCACTGCAAAATTGTACACTTTTAAAGGGTGAATTTTATGGTATGTGAATTATATCTCAATAAGCTTGTTATTTGAAAATTTTCAGGAATAAAATGTCTAAAAACACTCCAGGGGTAGGAGAAAGGGCAATAATGAAGTGAAAATGTTGAGAAACACTGACGTAGAGTCCACAAAGAGCATTAAATACACATTTTAGTGTTTTAGTGTTGTTATTTTTATTATTATCACATATCTGTAATGTTTTTTGGTTTTTTTTAGACACCTAGGCTGGAGTGCAGTGGCAGCATCATAGCTCACTGCAGCCTCCAACTCCTGGACTCAAGCGATCCTCCTGCCTCAGCCTCCTGAGTAGCTGGGACTCCAGGAGCACATCGCCACACCAGGCTAACTTTTTAAATTTTTTGTAGAGATGGGGCCTCACTATGTTGCCCAGGCTGGTCTCAAACTCCTGGCCTCAAGTCATCCTCCTGCCTTGGCTCCCCCAAAGTTATAATCTCTTAACTGAAGCCCTTGGAGTCAGATATGTCTCTGAATTCAGAAGTTTTTGGATTTTAGAAAGATAACATGGTAGGCCAGGCACGGTGGCTCATGCCTGTAATCCTAGCACTCTGGGAGGCCGAGGTGGGTGGATTGCTCGAGGTCAGGAGTTCGAAACCAGCCTGAGCAAGAGCGAGACCCCGTCTCTACTATAAATAGAAAGAAATTAATTGGCCAACTAATATATATAGAAAAAATTAGCCGGGCATGGTGGCGCATGCCTGTAGTCCAGCTACTTGGGAGGCTGAGCAGTAGGATCACTTGAGCCCAGGAGTTTGAGGTTGCTGTGAGCTAGGCTGATGCCATGGCACTCACTCTAGCCAGGGCAACAAAGTGAGACTCTGTCTCAAAAAAGAAAAGAAAAGAAAAGAAAAGAAAAGAAAAGAAAAGAAAAGAAAAGAAAAGAAAAGATGGTGCACATATACATAACAGTCCCAGCAAGGTTTGGGACAGCATTCCATAAAGCAACATCGAAATTTCTGCAGGGAAACAGATGTGACCACACTGATGTGTGAGTGAAATAAATGGGGCCTCTAGGTCCTCACTGTCTGCTACGACTTGAATGCATCCCCCAAAGTTCACACTCCGGAGACTTAATCCCCAATGCAACAGGGTTAAGAGGTTGGACTTTTAAGAGGTGACTAGGTCAGAGGGCAGATCAGGTTCCAGGACTGAGGGGCTGATGCTGTGATTGCAAAAGTGGACTCCTGATAACCACGTGAGTTTAGCTCCTTCCCTTCCCTTTCTCTTGCCCTTGCACCATCGGATAACACAGCAAGAAGGCCCTCCCCAGACGCAGCCTGTTGATCTTGGACTTCCCAGTCTCTAGAACCATGAGCCAAATACATATCTTTTCTTTATAAACTGCTCAGTCTCAGGTATTCTCTTGTAGCAGCTCAACACAGACTAAGACAGTGTCCAGTACAGCCGCTACGTGCAGCCACCAAGCCCTTGAAATGCGGACACTGTGCATTGAAACGTGCAGTGAGTGTCAAATACCAATTTCAAAGACTTAGTATGAGAAAAATGGAAATTAATCATTTTTATATTGAAGACATGGTGAAATGATAACATTTTAGATACATTGGGTCAAATAAAATAGATCATTGAAATTAATTTTACCTTCTTATTGCTGTTTATTAAGATGTGGCTACCAGAAAATTCTGGAGGACATTCATGGCTTGCCCTTGTAGTTCTCTGTTTCTCTTGGCCGGCGCCTCTCTCAGGAAGCTTGCCTCAGCTCAAGGTAGGTGTGCCCTCAAGTGAGTCTGTTCCGAATTTATTTAAAACAAACAAAATAACTTTGCTTTCAGGGCTTTTTCAGGATTTCTGAGTTACAATTGCTATTGAAGATCAAAGATCCAGCCTTTGACCTGGAGAACGGGGGCTAAGAAGCATAGGGTGGGCCCCTCTCCCCAGCCCGTGGCCAGTGGGCTCACGCCCAGGACTGGCCTGAACGCCACCCCTTGATGACAGCCCCCTGCAGCCAGCCGCCCTTCCCAGAGCCCTTTGCCCAGGCCACCCCAGACTTCTGGGCAGTCCTGCCTGACTGCTTGTCTGCAGGTCTGCGGGGAAGGCGGGGAGGAGGAGGCGGGAGGAGGGCGTGCAGAGGCTGTCTGGCCCCGCCACAGATCTTGGTGTTGAGTGTGCGACCAGCCGGGAGCAGAGGCCAGCCATGGCCAGCCGGGGGCTGGTGCTCCTGCTCTTACTGATGGCACTGCCACCACTGTGGCCCTCCTCCCTGCCACGGCTGGACACCCCAGAGGGTAAGGCCACCATTGCGGGCCTGATCCTGTCTGCGCTGGAGAGAGCCACCTTCTTCCTAGAGCAGAGGCTGCCCGAAATCAACCTGGATGGCGTGGTGGGGTTCCGGGTGCTGGAAGGTGAGTGAGCCCCTGTTCCCCTGGACTGGCCCCTGCGAAAACCTGCTCTCTGCTTGGTCCCCACCCTGCTCTGCACATCCGGGAGCTGCAACCTTCTGGCCCCGGAATAGCCTGCTTTGGCTCTAGGGAAGGGGGGGCTTGCTCTTGTGTCCAAAATGATCTGGCTAAAAATGTCAACATTGTTGAGGTTGAGCAACCCTCACCTAGACAAACACCAGATATTTATACTTTAATTCCCTTCAAAATGAATCCTAATGACTGAAAGATTAGCCCGACAGAATGGAATTTCCTCCCTTATGAACGGTCAAGCATGGTTCCTTCTTGACTTGGGAAGCAGACAGACAAGGCATGGTCAGCCTTGAGCATTCTGGTACGTTACCCTTGGAAAGCTGGGAGAGGTCAAGGAGAGAGATCTCACAAGCAACATGGGAAAAGATTTGGAAATTATTATTCTCTGGGAGGGAAATGATCCATTTGACAGCGTCCCCCCCAGACATGCCATGTCACTTTAACGGGGACTTGGAGGAGGGCCCCTCCCCTATCAGGAGGGCAGCTACAGAAAAGACCGGGGACCCCTGAGGTCAGGTTCCAGCCCCGCTTCCTCTGCTTCCAGCCAAGCCACTGAAGGTTCTGTGAAAACAGCCAAGTGTTTGTTTCTCTTTGAGAGACATAAGATCCCCGAGAAGGAGGCTGGACACAGGCCAGGCCAAACAGGGAGACACACACGCGCGCGCACACACATGTGCACACACACACACACACACACACACTCCAGAGTTGCAGCCAGCCCCTCCCGCAGACCACCTGACCGTAGCGGCAGAGCCCCCAGGCCTGGTGCCAGCGGGCCGTGGGCAACTCTGCTGCCGGCACAGTTCTCCGCCCACCCAGGTTCAGGGGAGCAGGCCCCGGGACAACCTGCTCCCTCTCCGTCACGTCACGTGGCCTCCCCAGTGTCCCTTCCCCACCCCAGGAGAGCCCCAAGATCCTGCCCCTCCTGCCAGGCGGGGGCCAGGCCAAGGCAGGAGACACACCCAGGGTGCCGGCACTCAGCCCCAGCCCTGTCTCTCGACTGCTCGGGACATGAAGGACAGCCATAATCTCGCATTACGGGCCGGCTCCCCACCAGCCCGGCGGGCACCGTGCTGAGGGTCCACGGGACTTTTAGGGACCCATGGAAATGTTTTCTTTCTTTTAAAATAAGAAGAAAGCAATGAACTTTTAAATGGAAGAAAACGTTTTAAAATATAATAGAAACGTACTCATCTTTATACCGTCAGATCTATGCGATGTAATCTGGCGTGTATCTTTCTAACAGAGGAAGGGGCCCGTGGGGGTTGAGAAGTGGCCTTGCCAACAGGTGCTCCCTGGGCACCTGCCGAGCGGTTCAGAGGTGAGGAAACTGAGGCACGGAGTTCAGGTGCCTCCCAGTGCCTCACAGCTAATGGGTGGTGGGTCTGGAGTTCAGATCCACCTGGTGTACCAGCCCCCGGGGACCAAGTGGCACTGTATTGACTCGTGTCCATCCTTGGTGGCCAAACACAGGTGTGTTGTCCAGGTGTGCCACAGGTGTTGAATAAGCGCTCGGGAAACCGAGGGACAGAATCTTGTCACCAGCAGCCCAGAGGTCTGTGGCTCCTTATGGAGACAGATGGGAGGGACAGGTGGCTCCCACGGGGACAGGTGTTCCCGGGTGTGTGTGACAGCACAAGCTGCTGCTGCCAGGAGCCTGGTGGACACTGGCACGCCCTGCGTGCGTCACATGGGCTACTCTGCCACCTTCTCTCCACACCCTGAGGCCGAGTGGACAACAGTCACGAACTCATGACTATTGTCCACTTTGTACCGATAAGGGGGGTGGTTCTCTCAGCCATACTGGGCAGCATTGACCGGCAGCGTGGCCCCACGCAACAGCCCCAGACCGGCTGCCCCTCCTGAGAGCCTCAGTGACCCTGGCTCCCCGCTGCTCACGTCCCCACCATGGCTCCACACCTTCCCCTTGTGAGAATCTATGGCTGTGCAGCAGATGCCCTGAAACACAGCTGCTTACAACAGTGACAGCAGCCAGCTGCCCCCCAGGAGGGAGCACAGGCCGTGCACGCCGCCCAGATCACGGCTTCGGAGCCGCCCGCCAGGTTCAAGTCCTGGATCTGCCCGCACATCAGCCCTCCAGGTGGATGCGGGTACCACCTGGGCTCACGTGTGTCACGTATGGCGTCACACCTGTAGGGCTCCACACCTGTTGGCTGTTTGTGCTTCCGTCTGCGAAAGCATCAAGTGTTCTCAACTAAGGGCAGCAACTCCCTCAGCTGCCTCTTTCTGAACAACGAGCGCTAGGTAGGCAGGCTCCGGTCCGCTGGACTTTGTTGACCCGGAGCAGGCACAGGAGGAGACACTGTGACGTGCCCCGGCCCCTCCCTACCGGCACTCCCAAGCCTGCGCTTCCTCCTGAAGCTTTGCTCGGGGAGGGAGCCAAGAGCGTGGGGGTAGCAGCACCTGCAAGACTCCCTCGGCATCCTCCTTAACCTAGTCCACTGTCTCTCGCGGTTTCTATCTGAGGGTGGCCACCCTACCTCCTCTCTCACCCCTCAGCCCTCCGCTGAGGCCAGGCCTCACACCCCCCCACTTTCTGGCCACCTCTTGTCCTCTCTCTCCCCATCACCATTCTCTCCCACCCCTACGAGGCCACTGCTAGCCCACAGGGTATCTTTGTGGGAATTAGAAAAAGGCGCCCCCCTCTGTAAGTCACTTGACTGCCATCTGCTGGGAAATTGTCTTAATACATGGCCACACCCATGATATGAACGTATCACCCTTTTGTGCAGTGCACAGCCAGCACAACTGGACGCAGTGGCTCTCCACCCTGCAATCTGAATCCCTCCCTCATCTTTCCTCGTGTATAGCAGACCCTGAGTCTCCTTAATTAACACGAATGGCTAAACTGTATTAAGTGCTGACTTTGCACTATGGACAGCACTAAATCCTCCCTGCACACCGTTTAACCCTTCCAACACCCCTGCAAGAAGTAAGGACTATCCTTATCCCCATTGCGCAGATGGAGAAAGTGAGAAGGAGGGAAATGAAATGACTCTCTCTGGTTACACAACAGGAAGGATTTAGAGTCAGGATTTGAACCCAGTCCCACCTCCAGAAACCAAGCACCTTCCACCACCCTGACCCCCAGCCCGCTCACCCAGATCAGCCCCACAAAGGCCCAGCTTCCAATAAGCTCAGCAAATCCCGCCCCCTTGTGTGCTGGGGAGGCAGGGAGGCCCACAGTAAACGTTACAACTTAGGGTATTTTTTCCCACCCACACGGCTTGTCAGACAGTGGGTTGAACCAGTTCTGCTCCCTCCCAGGGCAGCTAAGAAGCGTCCAGGCGGAGTGGGCCCAGGACGCCCTGCTGCAGCTGCTGAGCCTGCGCGTGGGGGCGCTGGCCGCGAAGCTGGAGTCGCTCCTGCAAACTTCCATCTTCTACCTCAAGCTGAGTGACCCCGAGTACCTGAGAGGTAACCGCACGGGCGGAGCCCCACTTTCCAGGACATCTGGGCATCCGGGCACATTTCCTGGAATAGCCCAGTGCGGGCTCCTCCTGGTGCAAGGCAGGGTCAGGACAGTCTGTGACCTGCTTGTCACCTGTCGGCAGAGCAAGCCTCAGGCAGACCTTGGGGACATTCGCTCATCCTTGACTGCAGACTCCGATGACCCCCCGCCTGTGCAGAGGGGGTGGGAGGTGGCAGTGTGTCTCCTCTCAAGCTCCCGTCCAAGCTCGGGGCCTTCGTCCTAGACCAGAGTGGAGGGTGCAATCTGGTCTGTCTCAGAGGGGGACGTCCAGGTGGCAGGCAGTGCAGCCTGGGCACACCAGACGCTCGGGTGTTGCCGGCGCCTGTCTGTGCCTTAGCACGTGGGAGCCTCGTTCCTCGCCGGCCTCCGGTGACCCAACACTGGCCTGAGTCGTTCTTGGTGCGGGTCGGGGGACACTCATAACACCAGTCCCTCTGTGCCGGTCCGACCCTGTGTGCACGGTGAGGGGGGACACCATCAGCCAGGCCACACAGTGTCCGGTCACACAGTGGCCCGGCTGCAGGTGAACACACCCCAGCCCCTCCTGGCACGGGCTGGCCTCCCTGCAGTTGAGGTCCCCCCAGGCCTGGTCCCTGGCACCATCCTGGCCCATGTCATTGTGAAGAAGCCCCTTGGCTGGGCGTCTGTTTTGTGAGAGCTCCACTTTCTCTCCAAACCCAGCTCCAGACAGGACCGGCTCTGCACGTGCTGAGCTCCCGTGGGTGCAGTAGGCTTAGTCAAAGCCTGTCCCAACACTGTTCCTATGGATTAGGGGAGGAAATGGGGGGGGTATGAAAAGGAGCTTCTTGAGTGTTTCAAAACCAACCGGGACCAGTGGGCGGGCGGGGTTTAGCGCTCCAGGTGTGCGTGGGTGGGTGGGGGACACCCAGCTGCATGGCCGGAGCCACAGCACCCCCAGTCCTGCCTCTCCTCCCGCCAGAATTCCAGCCCACCCTCCTGCCCGGCTTTTGGAAGCTGCCCCGTGCCTGGACGCACACCGACGCCTCCCTGGTCTACCCCACCTTCGAGGCTGAGGACTCGTTCTCCGAGGACAGCAGTGACGCGTGCCTGGTGGAGCTGCTGGGAACCCGGTAGGGCCCCGGGATCGCCCCAAACCCTCCGCGTGTCCCCACGTGCCCCAGCCCAGTCCCAGGGTTTGTGCAAACCCAGGCGAGGCTCACGGGGTGGGGCAATGACCCGGCCCCACAGCGGGTCCTTTTGCAAACCTCGTCTGAGTGCACCCCTCCAGCGCGACTTCCTGTGTTTCCCTTTGTTCCCTGGATAGAGTCCCATCTCCTTGATGCCCTGCTGGGTGACCCCTGGGCCTCCTTTCATCCTCTCCGGCCTCCCTCCACTTCAAAGCCTCTGCTCCTCCCGCCTGCCCTCACCACCCTTCCCCTGCGCCTAAGTCACGGGCCCTCTCCAGTACCAGCGCCTCCAGAGCTGTCCCTGACACACACACACACACACACACACACACACACGGCGGCCCCCTGATGGGCTCTGCTGCACTCTGGGAGCCGTGGTGCAGTTTGCAGGTGTCTGGGGGGCTGTCTCCCCACGGCTGCAGGTCCAGGAGGCAGGACTGAGCCGACCTTGGCTGACCGGTTTACCCAGCCGCTGGGTGGGCTCGGGGCCAGGCCCTGGGCAGAGTGGCCACATCCTCTCTGCGTCAATCATGGAGGGGTGTTTGGGCCAGGGCATGCTGGGCCCAGCCCTGTTGCCTGCCTTTTCTCCGGGGCGGGCCAGGCGAGGGAGGAATGAGCAGCGTTGAGCTGGCCCCCGGCCGCCTGGATGCAAGTACCCGCTTTGGGGTCAGTGCTGGGAAAGACGTTATTGGAGAGTCCCATGGGGCAATGGGAAGTCTCAGGCCCTGGGGGCTTCCCCAACCCAGGATGGCTCCAGCGTCACCCCCGCTGTGCTAGGGGTGCCAGCTGGAGCAAGTCAAGGTGCAGGACACCTGTATTTGACCTGGCAACCCTGTGCCCGGCCAGGGGCCTGGAACCTACTGGGGATTCCAACAGCTGGTGGGGAGGTCACAGCCCAGGGGTGGGGGGAGTGGGCACAGGGCGAGGGATGGGGCGCCACCCTAACAGCCCGGAACCACTCTGCCCCCAGGAATGACAGCAGCCAGCCCTGCGGGCTCTCAGACTCCTGCAGGGCCCTCATGACCAAGCCGGGCTGCTCGGCCTACTGCCTGTCCCACCAGCTGCTCTTCTTCCTCTGGGCGCGGATGGTGAGTGCCGAGCGCCCAGCCTCGCGGGAAGGGGCAGGAGAGACGAAGGGGGCGGCTGGGGCATACCTCCATCCTGCTGTTGGATGCTACCCCTCTCGGAATTTATTCACAATTGCTATGACAAAATGACACAAAGGAACAACTAGATTGATATATCAAAGAAGTTAGCCTCGTATTAGTTTGCTTGTATTAACCGCATTTTAAAAAACAAAATTGAATTTGTTAGAGGAAAAAGAGGGCGAGGGCTTAAAGGTGTGAACCCGCAGGCTGCAAAAGGAGAAGGTTCCTGGCAAGCCCGCGCCTGGCTCTCCCAACGGTCCCCGAGAGACCAGGGTGCACATCGCCCCCCTGGGGCCTGTGGGGCCGGGCATGAGGCATAGTCGTGTTCTGGATCAAATCTAGGCGGAGGGTCCGTCCTTGGGGTCCTGGGAACTAAAGCCTGGCTTTAGGGGGCCTGGGGGGAGCCCAGCCCCACCCGACCCCCACCTCTCCAGCCTCCAGTGATCTTCCAAGCCCAAAAATAAAGATAATAATTTTAATATATATATTTCTTTATATAGAAAGGTAGGGTTCATGATCTCTACTCAAAAAATGTTATTCAATATCCAGAAGTTCTTAGCTGAGAAGGTACTCACTGTCCTTGTTTGATGGGAGTTTTAAATTATTATTATTATTTTTTACAAACTGTGACAGACCAGTATTTTTGTAAATACAATAAAAATCAAATTACAAGGAAAATTATTTTACTAGAGAAAACAGGTAGAAAGTTAATCTGACCATGACTGCAGAAATTTCTGAACCCTTTTCTGAACTCCTGGCCTCCCTGGTGTGGGGTAGCGACCCGCTGGGCCGGGGCCCACACTTTGAGTAGCACGGATGCTGCCCGTGGAGCGAGTCCAGGTTTAGAGCGTGCTGCCCCCTCGTGTCGCGGGCATCGTGTCGGGCACCTCCTAGCCGTGTCCTCCACACACGCCAGAGCCCAGCTAGGGCAGCTCCTAGCGGCCTCACCCTCTCCCAGTGAAAACCCCCGAGGCTCAGAAATGTTGATCTGGCAGGCCAAGGCCACGCAGCTCCTGAGTGGCAGAGCTGGGACTGCAAGCCAGCCCTCTTTGACCTCCAGAGATGGAGCCCCAAGCAGGCTGGGAGTGTTGTGGGGGGGACGAAATCCCAGGAAAAGGAGACACGACCTGCCCCCGACACAGCCCCATGCAGGGCCGTCTCAGAACTGCAAGTCTCGGCCCATAACAGGGTGTGTGTCTGTCGCCTGTCACCTGACTGCCTTGTGTCCGGTGTTTGTCCCCCAGAAGGGATGCACCGAGGGGCTGTTCCGCCAGAGCCAGCACTACATTGACCTCTTCTGCGCCAACATGATGGACCTGAACCGCAGAGCCGAGGCCATCGGATTCGCCTACCCCACCCGGGACATCTTCATGGAAAACAGTGCGCCTGGCATCTGCCCTCCCTCGGGACAAAGCAGCAGGGTGTCCGTGATTGGGGCTCGTGTGTTCGCCACGCGCGCACACACACACACACACACACAGAGTTGCCAGATTAAGCAAGTAAATAGAGTGCTAAGTTAAATTTGACTTCAGATAGGCAACTAATACATTTGTAGGGTGAGTTCATCCCAAATATTGCATGCGATGTACTTACACTAAAAAATTGTATTCGTTGTTTATCAAAAATTCAAATATGGGCCGGGCGCGGTGGCTCACGCCTGTAATCCTAGCCTCTGGGAGGCGAGCGGGCGGATTGCTCGGTCAGGAGTTCGAGACCAGCCTGAGCAAGAGCGAGACCCATCTCCTACTATACAATACGAAAGAAAATAATTGGCCAACTACTATATAAGAAACTAGCCGGGCTGGTGGCGCATGCTGTAGTCCAGCTACTGGGAGGCTAAAGCAGCAGGCTTGCTTGAGCAGGAGTTTGAGGTTGCTGTGAGCTGGCTGACGCCAGGGCACTCACTCTAGCCTGGCAACAAAGCGAGACTCTGTCTCAAAAACAACAAAATTTCAAATATAACGGGCATCTGTCATTTTACTGCATGATGTGCAGCTCTGCCAAAGGCTCCCAATGGCAAGAGCTCTGGACGCAGCACCGACTAGCTGCCTGCAAACGACCTCAAAGCATGGAGGTGGGCTGAAAGGACCTGGGGTGGCTTGCTCTGGCTGCTCTTCCTGCCGTTGTTGAAGCACTCTTGGCGCTGCCGCCGCGGAGGAGGCAGGTGGTGTCCTGTGGCCTTGGGGAGGGGGCGGAGGGGCAGGCTGCAAGCCCCTGTCTTGCTCAGTCATGTTCGTGGACTGGAGGCTTCTCGACTCTACAACTCGCTGGCTGAGGCATCGCAGCTGGCAGAAAGGCGCAGGCAGATGCTTCGCAGCTGGTGAGCTGTGCTTCCTGCCGGCTGCGAGCGCGAGGGTGCGGGGGCTGGTTTCTACGCCAGGTGGGGAAACAACGCATTGGTATCAGGGGTGCTGAGAGAGATTTGTGCTGCATTTGCGTGCCACCAGCCCCGCACCCAGGTGCAAATGGCGAGCCTTGGCGCCAAACTCAGGAGGAAGGCGTCTTGCTGGCCCCTGCCTCTTCGACAAGCTCTCGCACAGTAAGTATCCAGCTTGCAAATGCGCAGGCCCTCTAGGCTACGGGCAACCCAGTGTCCTTTGGACAGAGACAGACCCACCTGCACACACATAAGGCTACAACCGCAAAATTCTGGTAAGAAGCTTTGCGGCGCAACCAGGCTGAGAAAGAGGCGCGCCAGGGCCGGGTCTTTAGGTCGGGTGGCGGAAGGCTGACGTGCACTTGTCCCGTGTGACACGCTTGCAGCTGTTCTCTTCACTTGGAGTGAGTCACTTCTCTCTGAGCTCAGTTTCCTGTCTGTATAATCCAACGTGCTAAAATATCCTCTGAACACGAGGGGAGGCAGACACAACACATGTGACCGCCTGGCTTGCTCAAGTGCAGGAACAGTGCCGGCGTCCCAGCCGAGCAGCTTGATGCTCTAAGAAGCAAACACTTTTGAAATAAGAGAGTCTGTTTTTAAAACAGAGTTTATAAAGTGAAGATTGCTAAGCCCCTGGAACTATAGAATCAGCAGTCTGGGGGTCCTGTAGAACTTGCGTTTTTTTTTTTTTTCACTGTTATTACTACTTTTAATAGATACATAGTAATTGTACGTACATACGGGTACGGCGTGATATGTCCATACATGTCTACAATGTGCAATGATCAAATTGGGCAAATTAGTAGATCCATCTCCTCAAACATTTATCATTTCTTTGTTTTGAGAACATTCAAAATCTTCCAGCCATTTGAAAATGTACAATAAATTGTCGTAAATTATAGTCGCCCTACAGAGCTATAGAATCTATAGAATCTATTCCTCAAACCTAGCTGCACTTTGATGTCTGTTAACCAATCTCTCCCTATCCTCCCTCCACTTCCCAGCCCCTAGTAGCCACTATTCTACTCTCTACTTCTATGAGATCAACTTTTTTGCCTTCCACATGTGAGTGAGAACATGCTACATTTGTCTTTCTGGGCCTCACTTATTTCACATAATATCCTCCAGGCTCATCATGTTGCTGCAAATGACAGGATTTCATTCTTTTTTATGGCTGAATAGTATTTCATTGTGTGTATATACACCACATTTTCTTTATCCATTCATCTGTGGATGGACACTCGGGTTGATTCCATATCTTAGTTGGCGTGAATAGTGCTGCAGTTTACGTGGGCATGCAGATACCTCTTTGACATACTTATTTCCTTTTCTTTGGATACATACCCAGAAGTAGGATTTCTGGATCCTAAGTTTTGAGATCTATTGCACAGCAGGAATGACCACAGTCAATAATAATGTGCTGTATGTTTCAAAATATACAGTGGTGCAATCACAGCTCACTGCAGCCTCCAACTCCTGGGTGCAAGGGATCCTCCCACCTCAGCCTCCTGAGTAGCTGGGTCTACATGGGCATGCCACCATGCCCTGCTTGTCTATATGTTTTAAGTGGGGAATTTAATCCATTTACATTCAAGGTTACTGTTGACTGGTGAGGACTTACTCCTGTCATTTTGTTAATTGTTTTCTGGTTATTTTGTACAGCCTTTGTTCCTTTCTTCTCTTACTGTTATCATTGCTATTTGGTGGCTTTCTGTAGTGATCAGGTTTGATTTATATCTCGTTCTTCTTTATGTATCTGCTCTACCAGTGAGTTTTATACTTTTTGTGTTTTTGTGGTAGTGATTATTGTCTTTTTGCTTCCAGATGTAGGACTCCCTTGAGCATTTCTTGTCAGGTTGGTCCAGTGGTGATGAATTCCCTGGGTTTTTCTTTGTCTTAGAGGACCCTACGTTTTTTTAACTAGTGCCTCCAGCCATTCTGATGGTGGGCGTTTGGAGGAAGACAATTTGAGAAATCATCAGATGACAAATTTAGGTTACGTGGCTATGTGGAAGGATCTATAGACTGTTGCAGGAGGAAACTTCTGGAAGACGATCTAAATTACTTGAAGTGTTGTGAGGGGGAAGAGGTCTAGTGAGTAACATTTAAAAATACATCTTGGGGAAAAAATCCATCTTGAGAAGTTCACCTTTTGCTCTTCTCACAGATGTTAAAGATGAAGAATTATCTAAAGCTATTCAATACCAACAGCATGTTTTGAGACGCGTGAAGAGGCGAGAAAAACAATTTACAGGTAATGAAAATACCCAAGGGATCGTCTTAGCATGAAACTGAGACATCCTAGCACAACGGAGGCCTGTGCTCATTCATTCTCTTTTATACCCAGGTTTCCCTCAATGTGAAAAAAGGCTCCTGACATCACCAAAGGGGCGCAAGTCAGAGGGCCTTCATGTTTAGGAGGTGGAGGGAAGGGCAGACGTCTCTGATGGCCTCCTCTTAGAAAGTGGGGAGTCCAGAGATACTGCCCCCACTTAAAAGAGAATAAGAGAAATTTCCATTGTTGTTGAAAATCACAAAGATAACTGTTCTCAGCCAAGGTCTGGTCAGGAAAATAGAACCACATTGATAACTCAACAAACGGAATTAATATACAGGCAACTTGTTTCCGAAGTGTTGAAAACTAAAAACAGAAAAAAATAGAGAAAACCCAGAAGAACATTGCAGCAAGCACGCCTACCTCCCTACTGGGGAACGCGGGGAGGTGCATTAGCAGGCCCCGTCGAGACAGGTAAGGATGAGGAGATAAGGAAGCAACACGCAGAAGGCCGGGCGCATGAACACGCCTGTATACACTAAATGGAGGACCCAGCGCGGGTGGATCGGCTCAAGGTCAGGATTCAAGAACCAGACCTGAGCAAGAGCGAAACAAAAAAAAGGCCGTCCTACTATAAAGGAGAAAAAATAATGGCCAAAAATATATAAACATATAAAAAATGCGGCATAAGGTGCGCATGCCTGTAGTCCAGTAACCGGAGGCTGAGGCAGAAGGATCACTGCAGCCCGAGGATTGAGGTTCTGTGAGCTCAGTGCAACGCCACGGCACTCACTCTTAGCTCTCGGCAACAAAGCGAGACTCTGCTCAAAAAAAAAAAAACACGCTGCTTCCCCCTGCGCTCCTTTCAAACCTCACTGAGCCAGTGGGCAGCAGCCAGGAAACATAGGTGGAGGGTCGCCTGCTGGGGTTAGGCAGAAGCATGGGAGCCAAGAAGCAGGGACTTTGATCGCCAACTTCTTCTTATTAATAAACAAACGCAGGGAGGGAGGCGGATAGCCAGCTCCTGTCAGCTCCTGTGACATCATGCCGTCAAATGACTGCCGGTACTAACGCCTTCTCCCTCACCCTCTGTCGCTCCATTGTCTACCTGACCGGGAGACGGAAGAGGGAGCAGAACACAAATTCCCTGGGTCATTTGTAGCCACGAAAGGCTGTGAGGGGAGGGAGAGGAGTTCTCAGGAGACTTTCCACAGGGCCCCTGCCCTGGCGAGGCCCTGCCTGGAGCCACCGCCGAGCTGGGGCTGCCCGTGGCTGAGGGTGCGGGCTGCGTATGCAACTCCCCCGCTGGAACAGATCCCTTCCCTGGACCCATGGCCTGACACAGGACTGGTGCTGAGGCCAGGGGAGGGAGCTGCAGAAACCCCAGACCCAAGTTTCCTGACCTCCAGTTACCCGCACCACAAATTGCCATGGCGAGTGGTGCGTCATTCCGCACTTGTACACACAGCCGTGGAGCAGGAGGCAGCTGGCAAGAGAAGACTAAGGGCACAGAGTTTGAGGTCAGAGCTGTCCTGGGTCTGAATCCAGCACGTCCTCCTCTTACTCGTGTGGAGTCGCTCACCCTCTCTGAGGCCTCATTTCCCTCATCTGTAAAATGGGCACCAAAACCATCCCCTTTCATAGGGCTGCTGGGAATTATACCTGATCCTCGTGGCAAGTAGTTGCTGCTGTGGCATGTGGTGTACAGTAGCCACCGATACTCGATAAACTGTCCGGGGTTTACGTAAATTCAGCAACTTGAAATCCTGCATTTTGCCTCCCTCCCCAGGGACCTGTCTGGGGTCTTTTCCCCTTCTCCAAGTCTTTCAGCAGGAGGAAAAGTTGTTCCTGGCTCCTCCACACCCTGAGCGCGGCGATAGGTTGTGAGGCAAAGGTGTGCAGCATCCACTTAGATGCTCAGAGAACTAAATACATCCGGGGGGTAACGGTCAGCGCAGGGGCTCACTGCCTGAGACTTCCCACTCATGAGCCGTGAGGCACACGGGACTCGGCAGGCCAGAG